CTTTAAAAGTCACGTTGGTCAAATTTGAAAAGGTTCTGACCTGAGTGAAGTGAGATTGGGCAACCGGGGAAGAACAGAACAGAGAAACTCAGCTCCCTCTACACCGAGGCTGTTGTGGGAAAAACTGAATGGGAACAAACATATTTTTTTTTACTCATTTATTTCCCTTGAGTACTACAGAGTACATGCTCATGTTAAATACTGAAATGTGACTACTTACTCCAGTTCTGTCAGAAATGGACAACTCAGGATGACGCTCTCTATGGATGCAAGCTGATGCACATTTACTGCACAGTCCACAAGGCTAAAGCAGAGAGATAAGAGGAATTCGTTTTTCCTTTATACTGTCTTTACTTTCAAAGGAATTCAGCCAGAGTGTGGTGTAAATTAATACAATTTACTAGAAAAAAAGAGCAACCTTTACAACAGTGGGCTTTTTCTTTTTGCCTGCAAGGTAAGCTAAATATATAGCATATGCACTGAGCAATATAGCAGTGCGTGGAGGCTGTAATCAAAGTGCGCATTCCTTGCAGGTATCATCAAAATGTAAAATAGAATGTATAAAATAAAAAAGCACCCAATTTTCTTTATGGCGCTCGATTGAGCTGCATTTCCAGAGAGATCACTGCAAACAAACAAGCAAAAGACACAAATCAAAAATCTGAATCATTTGATTTCTAGAAACATTAAATTCAAAATAATTGTTATTTTATATTTACACTTTAATCAATAAACTCCCGAAGAGTACAGCTGCTGTCTATATAACAATCATTAAACAATAATCATTACCTATCTGTCGTCAGTCCAGTTGAATTGGTCAGGTGGAGTGTGTTTTGATGAATCCTGGAAAATGAATATAGTTCACAGCTTTGGCACGCATACTGTATCTTTATTTGGGGAATGTTACAATATGTTTGATTTGTTTAAAAGGAGCATCTCCTGATATGTGTGTTCATTTGCATCTATATGCATATCTTACCTGAAAGTTTGAATATTGCTATTGAGTTGCAAACAGTGGAGCATTAATCCAACCGCTTTCTCAGCGCTGATCCAACGCTCCTCAATACTGAGTGGAAAAGCACGTGTAATACACTCATTATAATTCAGTGCTTTAACAGCCATTCACTGAACAGCCATGATTGATTTGGATAAGTTGTAGTTTGAAAAAAGCCCGAAAAGATTGACAGAAGAGATAATAGTAAAGATTCTTTTGTCTCACCTGAAAACACATCCACTTTGACTGAAGCTCAGCAGCTGTAGGAAATCTTCAGTCTGCTCCAGTAAGCTGTGGTTTAATCTGCAGATGAACCACAGACATATCACTATGTACTTTCTGATCATGGTTAGATAATGGAGGCCAGAAAGGAATGGTTAAACCCTGAATACCCTGAGACTCTTAGCATAAAGAGATTTTTGATATATAATAGATGCATTTCTGATCAGTTCCTTGCTGTCTTGATGCATGCTCAATCATCTTGGTAAGAAAATCCCAAAAAGTTCATCTTAGCGTTTTAAGTGGGAGAAATGTTTCGTCACTCATCCAAGTGACTTCTTCAGTCTTAGCTGACTGCAGGTTTCCGCCACCTTATAAACAGTACATTTGCAAAATGTCTGAAACTAGCACCACTGAATGAGCAATGGGCTGTGAGGTCAGTTACTTGATCATTAATCAGGCAATTTCTTGCTGGCAGTTTCAAATCTAAAATGTTAACAAAGAAATATGGCCTTGTTGTGATCTTTCCATATTTTACAAGTAGTCAGTTTATGAA